TGATCCTCGACGGGAGGTGGCTCTTCGACGAGCACTTCCGACAGCTTGCTCCAAAGCTGGTCGGCGCTGCGTCTGCCCTAGGGCGACTTTTGCCCAATATGGGTGGACCCAGCGTCGCGACACGACGGCTGTACACGGGGGTTGTCCGGTCAATGGCACTGTACGGTGCACCGGTGTGGGCGGCGGCTCTGACCGCCCAGAATAGGGTACGCCTCTGGCGCCCTCAGAGGGTAATGGCGGTCAGAGCCATACGCGGTTACCGCACCGTTTCGACGGAGGTGGCGTGCGCGTTGGCCGGAACTCCCCCGTGGGATTTGGAGGCGGAAGTGCTCGCCGAAGTTTATCGGCGAGTGGCTGACTACCGGGCGGAGAGCGGATTTCGCCCTCCGCCCGAGGATGTGCGCGAGTGGCGCGAAGCCGCTCGCCGAGCCACGATGGCTCGTTGGTCGTTCCGGCTGGAGACTCCACGCGCTGGCTTCGCCGCCGTGGAGGCTCTCCAGCCGGTCATCGCCGAGTGGGCAGGGCGGCAGCACGGGACCCTTTCCTTCCGGCTGACGCAGGTGCTTTCCGGGCTTGGTTGCTTCGGAAAGTACCTGCACACGGTCGCTAGGAGGGAACTGAGTCCCGCCTGCCACCACTGCGACTGCAGTGAGGACTCGGCCCAGCACACGCTGGCGGTCTGCCCCGCATGGGCGGCGCAGCGCCGGGCCCTCACTGCAGTCATCGGAGTGGATCTCTCGCTACCGGCCGTAGTACGCTCCATGGCCGGTAGCGACAGTTGTTTTACCGCGGTCGCAACCTTCTGCGAGGTAGTAATCTCGCGGAAGGAGGCGGCGGAGAGGGCCCGGGAGGACGACCTCCACTCGGACCCGATCCGCCGCCGGCGAACCGGGCGGCGGAGGCCCGGCTATCACAGCCTCATGCCGCCCTGAGTGTGGCCGCGGGTGGACGGGGTGGGTTTCCCCTCCACCCGCATTAGTTGGCCAGCCGCGAGGGGGCGGCGTCCGCGTGTGCCGGACGTCGCCTAAAGAGAGGAACAACACTGAGACGGAGCCCGCACCAGGAGCGGGCTGGCGCTAGGAGGGGTCCGGATGTCTTAACAACAGCTGTTCCCGGATCCCTCCTGTTACAGGCGCAGAGCGGCACACCGTGTGGTTTTAGTCGGTCCGAGTCCGACACACCACCCCGCCGCAAACCCCGGAGGGGTGACGGTCCGAGGGGATTTCCACACGTTAAAAAAAAAAAAAAAAAAAGGGTTTGTGTCAAGTTTTCCTTCTCTCTGCAGTGCTGTTGTCCTGCGTATTTCGCTCCCTTAGTCGCCTCTTACGACACCCACGGGATGAATAGGGGTGGTGACACTCTGTATTCTTAATCCTTCACCACACGGATTATTATTTATTATTACTACAATACTTTTAAGATTGGTAAGTCCTTAAATTAATAAGCAATACCAGTGGAGCAGTAGATCAATTATCAATTTTATCATGTAGGAACTCATCAATATCATAATAAGCTTTATCTGCTAGGAATTTCTTTAATTCATTTTTAAATATTTCATTGTTTTGTTCTTTCCAAAGTCTAGGAATTTTATTATAGATTTTTGGGGCCATACAAAATTTACTATTATGCATACTATCTATATCATATTATATTATCAAAATTATGTTAAAATATTTATTTTAGTCTGCAAGCTAAACTGTTGGCTTGAAATATCTGAAAAAAAAACCGAATAATAGCATAACCGATAGCATATAAAACCGATTAAGAAGGAAAACTATGACAATAACTTAGCTTTGAAATATTAATAGTTATATAAAACCTACCTATCCTACACAATTAAAAAAAAATGCAATGATTACCTACTGGTTTAAGACGTGTAATTATTAATTAAATACGGAACCATTACGCGTGGTCCGCCACGCACTTGCCCTTGAATATATTAATTTTTCTATTTGTAATCTAAGTCGCCTGCTACGGCTACACTAAATTAGAAGACACATGATACCTAACACACCACACATTCCAGAACACTCATCTCAAATAGTTATACACAAAAAGAACGTGCTGATACTGTTGTAAACCATAAACAAAGTCTTTTTACTTTTACTGTCTGTTAAAGAGGTCTTATACATACAAAAAAAATGGCAGAAATCTTGTATTGATGTCAATTTAAATCGTTTTGGTCTAGTGGCTAGTTACTAAAGCTTGGTTTTGATTCTCGACTATATCTGGGTGTAATTTATATATTTAGTAATATATAAGTATGTTTATTGACAGTCTGTTTACTTTAGTCTCTGCCTAGTTTGGGATCAGACATGAGTTAAACAGAGATCATGCTGTTAAGTTAAAAAAACTTTATAAAAAAATCTATAAACTTTGTGTGGAAAACTGATTTAGTCTCATGTTCTAATATAAATAGAAATGTAGTCTCATGTTCTTTTTAAATATCTATTATTTATTTTAGAATTATGTAGCTGTATATCCAGAAGATAAAACTGTAATGTTTCAGTTTTTCCTTGCTTTAACAATAGGGTAGACAATATTTAAAAAAAAAGTTTTCAAAAGCAAACTTTCTCTAGAATTTTGAGTCTGTGAATGAATCAGTGACCAAAATAATGGCACACTGCTTTACCTATTACAATATATTTGACCTATCAATATAAAAATTAGAGGTATGTTCAAGGCATGTGAGATATTAGCTTTAGCTGACGTCGGAAATGACCTGAACGACATCGAGAAAGGGATAGTCCGACTGGGCAATGTCGTTTCCTTAAGTTAATTAAAAAAGAAAAGAAAACCTGCTTATTGGGAATACTCAGAACATGAAAATAGGTAATAGATTTAGAAAACTCTTAGCATTTTATTGTACCTTGTAAAATGATGATTTAATAGATTTCTACAATTTATTGTAACAGACCTCCAAAGAGACTCCAAGTAGAATCAATTTAATAAAAAAAAAACTGCCTATATAATTAAGTAAGGTGTGTACAACAAGACCAGCACATATATTTACCTTGTAGTAGTGTCAGCTCGGCGCCACAAACCAGCTGGAAATAACTGTATTAAGCCCGTCAGTGCCGGAGTGTTAGGCCAAGAGTCGGTGTGCTGACTTATCGCGCCCTCTTTTACACGTACACTTGTCAGGTTGCGTAGGGCAATCTTAAATCTCTCATGACATATAACCAAGCATGTATTGCTCCAAATAGTTCTTAATATCGGGGCCTGTACACACAGGCTTTTTGTCATCAGCGACTGGTAACACTCGCTAAATGTTATAACACATAACAGATGTCAATAAGTGTCTTGCTAGAATTTATGAAGCGTGTGTTAGCAGAGCGTGATTTAAAAGTCGTGTATACAGGGCATTCGTTCTCGAAATTTCTATTACAACCCCCCTTTAAATTACTTCTTAAGTTCACTGTGGTTTTTAAAGATATTCCCAAAAGTTAGAGGCAGCATGCTCTTATTAAAACAGTGTGCGCTGACAATGTTATGCTGTCTGTTGCTGTGGATATATAGTGTAAGTCAGCAACACACCTATATTAGCCGTAAACACTGCACGCATGCGCCTCTGAAAGCAAAAACAATAAGAGAATAATGCCGAGTCAGTCATGGAAATTTACATTATTATTATCGGGCTAGGATCTACCGCTGTGATAGATTTTTATTACACGCAGTTTGGAAAATATAATATTCTAAGTTATGTTTTAATGATAATTTACTAGATGAAACAAACGCAATATCGAGATTCGAAGTATAAGAAGAAATTTTTGAAGACGTATTAATGCAAAATGGAAGCAATCCACACATAAGACAGTTTTAGAAATAGCTGTTTGTTATTCTGGAAAAGTTTGTTTAAAATCTATATTTATATATAAAAATGGTAGGTGGGTTTGTGTCAGGCTCAAAAACTTCTGTACCAATCGAGTTCAAATTTTAGAGCATATACAACCCGCATTTAAGATGTTTTTATCTTTTATTACATCTCAGTTTTGTTTCTCATTTGTCACCCATGCAAATACAATGATACAGGGAAACGTGACATGGCAAAACTATAATAGTTATTTATAACTAGAATAATTTAAAACAAATGTCATAGATACAGATTATTTAGTTACCATGAGGCATGGGGTTTCCTTCAGTTGGTATACTTATCATAAAAATGTTTTATTCGGGGAAAATTCTCAGATAATTTTGATCTTTACGTGGTTAATAGAAAGTGCATTTTGAAGTATACTTAACTTGATGTTTAGATTACCTCCTGTTTGCATAAGTAGATCCAAATAAAGGTTATATTTCAAATTGCATTTATTTCATGTATATTCTAAATATAAAAAATCAAAATACTTGTAATGTACGTAATAGATATCTATCATCAGCATACAATTATAACATCGTGGCCCGAGAATATTATTGTGTGGTATCATAGTACCATTGCTTTCGTTTAATGTGGTGATCATGTTCCAATATTCACTTTTCAACACCACACATCCAGAACACCACACAAGTGTTATTCTTTATGTATACACCAATAATCCAATACCTAAACACTTACAACATTACTGGCAGTATTTTCTTGCAATTTTGAATGAAAACCGTGAATACTGGAACCTATATTCCATAGTTGCATGGAAGCAACAAGCTTTTAATTATCTAGCAATGGCATCGTACCTCCTCTACGCCCCTGACATCTCTTAGACCTTTCTAACACCCCGGAGAAACAGTGCGAATGACACAACTGTATCCACAAATCATTTGTTTGATGCCTTATTTAATAGGCGGGAAAGATCACCACCATTGCAGCAATTTTTAATTTAAAAACTATATTACATCGGTGGCACAAACAAAGGATAGTTACTTCTGGGCAAGTTACAGTGAAATAACATTCTTATATTGCAAAACAACTAAAGCACAATATCAATATTTGTAATATATTGAATCTATCAGTATCTCCTAACATTTATTTAAGAACTGTTGGGCTGTAATGAAGGTCTACTTACCGAGACCTCGGGCTGCAACGTCGGTGGCAACGAGAATGCCTCCGGTGGACATGCGGAACTGGTTCAGAACGTAGTCGCGGTCTTGTTGGTTCTTGTCGCCGTGGATGGCCAGTGCCCGCCAGCCTGCTCTGCTGATGGCCTTTTGTATTTCATCCACCTGGGAAGATAGGTAGTTTAAGCAATCTTGCCTTGATGAGGAAAGGAACAGATTGTTGATGACAAATATTCTATGTTTTTTAATGACCTTTAGAGTTTTATGTTCAGAGTGAATGTGAATGATAGACAGAAAGAATGAATATTTATTTGCAATGCCAAATTCCTTATTTATTTATTTAGGTCCTTCACAGCTGACAATAAGTACATGTAGAAAATTTACAGAGTATTACGCCAATTACGAAGTACACAATATAACAGAGTAGAATAAGTAAACAAAAGTGAACCATATGCCTTATGTTAATAAAGTGTGTGTTATGATCGTAGTATGTGTCACAATGTCTGTGTGTGATCGTGTGTGTCCTTATAAATGGTGCCATAGGTCTGCCTTAGCATACTGTTGGATGGCCACAGGTGCCTTGCAACACTAATTTTCAGCCATATGACTGGGTGTCGCCAGCTCGAAATCATTCAAGTATGTGTAAATATATATGTTTGCGTGACACATCAATATAATAAGGAAGAAAAAAAATAAAAAACAATACCTAAAATAAGTAACAGCTATATTCATTACTAGCGATTGTCCGCAACTCCGCTCTATTTATATTGTTTTTAATTTAGTAAAGATAGAAGGGTTTCCTCAAGTCTTTATTTCAGAGATGTCCGATCAGAGTTTCGTACCGACGGAGACACTTTTTACAGGAGTAAGGCGTCCTCCCGCGACCTTGTCAAGCGCGACACTCAAACATTCATACATTAGTAAAACCATTTTTTTTTTCTATGGAATCGGAATACCTGCTGGTAAGTGACTACCGCCACCGGTTGTTTAAAAAAATAATAATGTTTATGGAAACCATACTAATATAATAAATGCTAGTGTGTCAGTCTGTCTGTTCAATCGTCACTCTTAAACCGCAGTATTGATTTAGATGAAATTTGGTGTTGAGATAGTCAGTCCCGGAAAAGGACATAGGGTAGTTTTTATCCCAGAAATAATTCTACAAGGGGTTTAAACGAAGGGTGGAAGTTTGTATAGGTAATCAATAACACTTAATTCTTAAAGACATAGGACATTAGGTAGGAAAGGAATATTCAGTTGAATAGTTAACGGGTGGCCTAACAAACTTTTGCATTAACATTATTAGTTATGGGATTTCTTAAGTTTTAAGGTTACATTGAAAATACTTTTGATGATAAAGATAAATACATACCCTCCTCTTAGTTTCAGCAAAAACAATGGTCTTAGTCTCTTCCTCTGATGATATCTCAGTGAGGAGTGTGACAAGCTTCTCATTCTTCTCCCATTCTTCGCACACATCCACTATCTGCAGAATGTTGTGGTTGGCAGAAAGAGACAGAGAGCCTATGTTGATCTGGATGTAATCGTGTAGGAATTCTTCAGCTAAATTCTGGACTTCTTTCGGCCATGTTGCTGACCACATAAGAACCTGTTCAAATAAAGAGCATGCATAAGCTTACATGTCAACAGCCTTTAATAGTCCACTGCTGGACATAGGCCTTTCCTTTGGAGGTTTGGGCCTACTATACCACGCTGGCCAGACGGGTTGGTATAGCGTTTGTGTCAAGTATTCCTTCCGCTGCTGGAGTCCTGCGTTGTTTAGCGCCCTTAGTCGGCTCTTACGTGACTACACGGACTCAATTACGACTCAATCATGATGAAGCTTACAAGGCAAGCTGCAGTTTGGCCTCTTGATCAAGTAGACTGCATATAAAATTTAAATCTAACATTTATGGAAACTGAGTTTTATTTTGAAATGTAAACTTGAAAATTTAGTTCCTATCAAGTGGTTTGCAGATCGAATCCCACCTAGAACCAATTGTGTTCTAGATGGGATTCGATCTGCCAACTATACTAGTGAGTCAGTGTACATCCTTGTGAGTCGTGTCTTCTTTAGGGGTTTATAAGCATTTCTAGTGACAACAGCTGTAAGTGTACACGGGGTGGTTGGCTCGGCTTGACTGGGCTTTTCGCGATCGGTACTAGTGTCGGTTTTTGAACACAGATCAAAGGAGGGTTGCGGCAAACGTTTGCGACGTATTTACACGTTGGCGCGTGCTTTCCCCACTTCTCAATTTGATATTAGTTGAGCAGTCGGGAATGAACATTAAAGTCTCAATGCTCTACAGGTTGAGCAGTTTAGTTGGCAGTAGGCTAGAGGATGTTTTTTAGTTTAGTGCCGCCGTTTATATTTTGAATAAAAATATGTCCTCGTATGCTATGTTTGCCTGTCTTGAACAAACAAGCGTGTAAATGGCATCCAAGCTCTTGTATAGGCTTGAAGCTTCTTGAACCAGGCATAAAGAAATTACCGTTTTCGAGGTTTAGTAAAGAATAACTGATTTGATTTGACATCCAACTACGGAACTGAAGTACCCACCTATTTTTTTTTTCAGAAATCTATTAGATATTCTTTGTCAACATACCTGTCTGTCTGGCCGAATCTGCTCAATAATTTTACGAATCTGTGGCTCGAAACCCATATCAAGCATCCGGTCAGCCTCATCCAGGACTAAGTAAGTGCAACGACGGAGATTTGTAGTTTCTGTGGACAAATGTATTTTTTTCTTAACCATAGGTACATAATCTACGTCTCTGCGACGGAAACCGAATACTAGTATTCTCAAACTCTCTTTATTTCATAAAAAAATGTTTGAAGTCGTCTTTTATGTGGACTCCAGTCAGAGATCAACACACAATAGCATCAATCTCTGTTTTGTCAAATTTTTTTGCTTACAGAATAAAAGTACACAAAAACAAGTTCAATTGAGGTCTCTTTTTTCAGTATATTAGTTATATATTATCGTATAATATTAAATCTATTTCTAATTACAAGAAAAAGTATTTTTCTATAAAGATTTTAAATACAGATCATTTTTCATAGTTTATTATGGATTGGCTCATTTCTGCATGACAGAGTCCACTTTATTACCCAATACCCGATATTATCTTATGTCATTAGTCATGCTTGATGATCCACATATAATAATAACAACGCCCAAAAGAGCAATTTACATTTTAATACATTAGAACACTCCTTTTTAGGAAGGTAGATCCATTTAAAGTCTATACAAATAAATAAAATTGAAGTGTCTGTTTGTAATGTCAAACTAATGGGATTTTTTTTCATCAGGCTATTTTTTAACCGACTTCAAAAAGGAGGAGGTTTTCAATTCGGAAGTTCTTTTTTTTTATATAATAATATAATATAATAAGGACGGGCATAACTCCGTCATAGATGAACGGCTTTTCATAATTCTTTTTTTGTTCGAAAAAGGTTTATTCCGAAATGGTCCCATTCAAATTTCATATAGATCTGATAATGATTTTTGGAGACAATTGACATGATTTTTCGCGGACGAATTCGCGGGTATCAGCTAGTAGCAAATATAATTAAAAGCAAACTAGTATTGCTAGAGGTACGCCCCCATAATGCTGTGTAATATCAACAGTGCCGGCAGTGTAGAACAAGTGGAATGATGATTCTAGGAGTCAAATGCAAAGGAACGTCAGAAAGCCAAGGCCAGTCAGAGAGTCAAGGCCAAAAAAGTTTAGGTATGCTATTGAGAAGCTCGGAAGTGAACTTTAATTTGTTTACAATAGCACTCTGATTAAGAGTTAGATCTGGCACGGGGCATAGTATAATGCAATTTTAATTAGTTTTAATTACATTTTTATCAGGATGCATTAGTTAATTATTTTATCTGCATTAGATAAAACAGTTTTTAGGTCTACTGGAAGTCCCTGAAAATTATAATTAATATTTTTACTAAGGGGATCAGGCATTTCTGTTGACAAATTTGTTCATACTAAAAACTTTAATAGAAATAAATATTGCATTTCTTGACTTTGTCGTGTAATGACATGTATCATATCTATTTGAATAATAAAATGAGACCAATGGTATTATAATGGGGGTTACAAATATTTTCAAGAGGCGGAAGTGTTCGCCGAAGTATATCGGCGGACGGCTGAGTTCCGGACGGATAGTGGCATTCGGCCCCCGCCCGAAGAGATACGCGAGTGGCTCAGCACACGCTGGCAATTTGCCCGGCTTGAGAGTCGCAGCGCCGGGTCCTTATTGCACTCATCGGAGGGGACCTTTGGCTACCGGCCGTCAAAGGCTTCATGGCCGGTAGTGACAGATGTTTTACCGCGGTCGCATTCTTCTGCGAAGACATCATCCCGCAGAAGGAGGCGGCGGAGAAAGCCCTGGAGGACAACCTCCACTAGGACCCAATTCGTCGGCGGCGAACCAGGCGAACTGTGGGAACGGGTGGACGGGACGGGTTTACCCCTCCATCCGCCATAACGGCCAACCGCAAGGAGACGACGTCTGCGTGTGCCGGACGCCGCTTAAATAGAGAATGTACCCGCACATGGTAACCGCGCCATTGCGGGCAGGCGCTAGGAGGGGTCCGGATGTCTTAATAACAGCAGTTCCCTGATCCCTCCTCCTTCAGGCGCAGAGTGGCACACCGTGTGGTTTTAGTCGGTCCGATTGCGACACACCACCCTGCCGTAAACCCCGGTGGGGTGACGGACCGAGGGGGTTCCCACACGTAAAAAAAAGATACAAATATTTTGACCAGAATAGTGGCATGCAAAACCGAGTAGAGTAAAAAAAAACATTATTAGGTCAATACAAATAATTAAATAGGATGTCAATAGGGCAGAAAAAACATAATAGTTACAAGCATAGTCAATTATAGAATAAAAATAGTAAGTTAATTGTCATCCAAATGAATAATGTTTTGCTATTACAACCACAGCAACGAGACCTGATGAAAATTAAGTGTTGTATATACCAGTGAATATTAGTTGTTGCTTGGGAGTACATACATATGGTGTGAAAAACACAGCAGCCATATGTTTGAATTTACATGTTAAAAATATGCAAAGTTTACATACCTTTCTCCAAAAAGTCGATAAGTCTGCCTGGTGTAGCAATTACAATCTCAACACCTCTCTCCAAGCACCTGCCTTGTGGTCCCTTGGGCGCTCCACCGAATATGCATGTGTTCCGCACTTGCACACTTTGGCCAAAATCATTGGCCACCTGAAGAGGTAAAATATTAGAATTAATGAAGATTTGCAACCAAATTTTGGTATAGATGAATGCAAGAGCAAATAAAGGAGAAATATTTCGGTAAAATGTGTTCGTTGTCGACTTGTATGCGTAACAAAGTAGTCAGTGTAAATGTAAAAAGATGGCACAGATGGTAAAACAAAAAAAATTCTTGTCTGAAAGACCTATGTAATGTTTGTTTTTCCATGCACCTGATTATCCACACTTGCATTATAAATGCAAAAGTTGTCTGTTACATGTTCACACTTAAACCCCTGAACCGATTTAGACGAAACTTAGTGTAGAGGTAGTTTGAGTCCCAGGAAAGGACATAGGATAGTTTTTATCCCAGAAATCATTGTTTAAGGGGTTGCAAAAGAGGGGTGGAAGTTTGTGTAGGGAATCAATATCCACTGAGCCGATTTAGAGCCAATTTCGTTTTGAGATAGTTTGATTCTTGAGCAAGGACATAGTCTACTTTTTACTGCGATAACCGATATACCTGCGGGCGGAGCCGAGGGCAAAAGCTAGTTGTTTTTAAAAACACTGACTGTTTCCCTGTTTTATTTGTGTTTACAGTCACTGCTCGGCTCCTAATAATATGATGATTATTCAATGAGTACTCTATCCAATATAAAAATTACTAAACTGAGTAACAGTACATAGATCATGTTGAGGCACGCGCAAAATGAACTCTAGTAGAATACTTTTTCTACTAATGATTCCTTATGAATTAGCGTTTGAGGCATTTTAACCTGATTTATTTAGCTACTACACCGTATACAAGCACCCTGTTACAGAACTGTTTCAAATCTGAAACTAGCAAGACCCTTACATGTAACCCGAACAGCATCTACAAGTTAAAACCAAGTAACTGCATCCTACTGACGCAAATAACCCTCGTCTTTACCCGCTGCAACTACTTGCACTGTGTAGAAGCACCCTCAATGAGTACTTAAACTTGTTTTATCACAGGTACATCCTCCAAAATCTGCTCTTGCATTATAGAAAATCAGCAAAATAACAAAAGTGAATAATAACATAAAAATGGAAGAAACATAAATATAAATCAGTCTAATTGGTGCTATTACAAAATATTATTGATTTTGAGGTTTAAGAACCCAGAGCTACTCTTTTCCACCAAAAAATTTTTGTAAAACTTTTTTTTTTTAAATCAATTGTATGAAGTTTTGTGAAATTTTGTGGTGGAACCAAATTTATAAGTAGTTCATTAACTAAAATACATTAGTGAATACATTTATAAAGGTGAGGTGAATACTGTTTTTAAACGTAAAACTACATAATATATATGGTGAAGCTGTCCATAAGTGAAGCACAGTCTAATAGAAAGAACCAAACAAAAGTATACAAAATCCAGCTAAAAAAGGTTACGTTCAGAAACCTCACCTATAGACTATATAATTTGGAATTCAATAACACACTTCAAATGATTTATAGACAAACATATCAAATTTATTTTAACAGGTTTTCGAACATAGCCTGCCTGCGATAAGCTAGGTTCTACAAATTAAATGTAATTTAATAAATTTACTATGTCCAAGCTGCTTGGATTGTCCGACATCTCTGCAGCAATTCCATTCATTGAGATCAACGCCTGGAGTAGCACAATGAAAAATAAACTCATCTTATATTTTTGTCATAATTATAATTATTTGAATTTAAGTTAAGTGTTTAACCCATATCCTCTAACATCAGGCAGTTCTATGTATCAGTCATCTTAAGCAATATAATAAATAGAATAATAATAACCTGTTGGATTTGTTGAGCTAATTCCCTGGTCGGAGCTAATACTAGTACTATTGGTCCTTCGTCTCTAAGCAACCTCGGCTGGTTGATTATGTGGACGATGGCTGGCAGGATATAAGCAAGTGTCTTTCCGGAGCCTGTTTGAGCAATTCCTACTAAATCTCTACCAGATAGAGCAATTGGCCATCCTTGAGCTTGAATCGGCGTTGGATGAGGAAAACCTTGTTTCAAAATTTCCTTCATGGCGTAATCAGGGAAACCTCCCTCCTCGAAATACATGCTAGGTGATGGGACATCGCGGCCTTTCACAGTGATCTGATGTTGACTGCGATAAGCCTCAACTTCAGTTTGACTACGTGTCTGCACGTTCGAATGTGGAACATAAAAGTTTTTCTCGAACGGAGTCAACGTAATCGTGTCCCAACGAATCTTTCGGAGGTTACCGCCCGGCTGATCATTTTTAAAATTTCCACCTCGGAAATCGTCCCGTCCACCTCGCCCCCCAAAGCCTCTTCCACCATCACGGCTGCCCCGACCACTGTCTCTTCCCCCGCGACTGCTGCCGAAACGGCTACCGCCTCTGTCCTGTGAACGATCACTCGAGCGGCCCCCTCGCGAACCACCTCTGCCGCCGCCTCCACGACTACCACGGCTTCCCCCACGTCCGCCACCACGACCACCACGCCTGTCGTCGTACCTGATTTATGCATAACATGTAGATAAAACAATAATTACAAACTGCGTAACTATAATTAGGTCGAATAAAAACGGCAAACTTACATATTCACTTTTCACAACTGTTAAACTACTAACAAATAACAATATTACAGCTAATCAATAGCCTTCCGAGCTTAACTATAAGTTACACTTTCCTACTAACAATATGAACTTAATCAAATGGTATTTAAATAATAGAGAAGTCGTGAACAAACAACTACACCAACTTCATTAATGCCAACTATCCGCCATTTTGCTATTAGTGTTCTTCTGACGTTTATATCGTTTCCTGTCCTATTGCAAAAAAATTACACCCTTCTTTGGGCATTTAATTCTGAAAATATATTTAAAATAAATATTATAATATTTTTAATTGTAGGTTGTAGTATTTTTTTTGATATTTCATACAATTAAAAAAAAAGTAGTTTTATGAAATCAACTGCAACTTCCGTTGTCAAGGTGGATTTGTATTAAGGCCACTGTACATTTTGGGTTAAGCTGCTGGCCAGCATGCTGGGCCACAGAACTGTATTTTATTTACACGTTGTCGCACTCATCATTCTGCATTGGTACTTTGATAAAGATGGATAGGGAACCTCTTGCAGGTGTAGCAATTAATATAGTACAAACATTTGATTTTAATCTAAATATGAACCAACGTATGAATGCTGTTTGCAGCGCACCAAGATCCTTTAATGTGTGCACGAAAAAACTACACTAATCGGTTGGCCGGCCAGTGTCCGCCAGCCACCAACAAACTTTCAAGTGGTTGGCTACACATTGGCACAATGTGCTGGGTCAGTAGGTACCTTGGCCCAATGTGTACAGGGGCCTTAAAAGTCGACATCACACATTCGATTTCCAAATATTCTGTTTTCATGTAATATAATAGACACTATTAATAATACAATTATTATAGGTGCATGAAATAGGACAGAGCCAGGACTGAGGCAAGGTATTGGCATAGTTATAAAACAAAGCAAGGCCAATTCATACTCCAACATTTTATAATCGTGAAGTGTTTGTTCTGTGTCTATGGAAATCCATAAACACATTACTTGTGATTTAATATGGAAAACGAAAACCGTTGAACGCAAACGTAGGCATTTATTTAGGTTTGCGGTTTTCGCTAAAGCTAAGCAATTTGCAAAGAACACTCAATCAATACTTTAGGTGATTACCAATTATCTACATGTTCTGATACGAGATTGGGCACAAAATATAATTAAAGAACTAGTGCGAGTTCCACACTTGTACCTTATATTATCTTCTCTTTAATGCATCTTCTCTCAAATTCAATTTTCTTCACCAGCTCGTAACACACAAATGTAGCATTACCAATTCAATGTAATTTCGAACCCCTTCTTGAACTCAATACTTTAAACCACAATTTTACAGATGCTCTAAGTACCTACCTACTCATAAATAAAGAATAAGTGGAACATAGCTGGATACTTGTACTTATATTGTACATTACCTACACTTATAGCTTGTGAAGTTCCTGACCCAATTTTCATATCAAAGGGTAGGGAAAGTATCGATCAAACTGAAAAACGTCTACACATTGCAGTTACGCAGTAATCTTAGGGCATTCGTAATCCGTCATGGACGCATCGATACCCGTTTTTGAAAAGCCCCATCCGCGTTTGTCTGTACAAGACTGGACAAGAAACATTCAAAGGTTACAGAATGAGGCTCAGTACCGCCGTTTTGAGTCATACGAGTTAAGGCAAAGGGCTAATCAACTAAGGAATGAATCTGATGTGACTACTAGATGGGATACGTATGTTAATAATGAACTATTACGGGATAGGTAAGTTTTATCTGGCGAAATAAAACAGTAGTGAAGTAGGAAATAATAAATATCAATTGTTGTAACTTAGTAACAATTTTCCAGAATGTTCGAAGTTCACACTTGGCGTGAGAAACAAAGGTTCACTAGAGAATGTGTAAGAGATGAAATAAGAGCATTAAAGGAAGAGAAGAATGCTTCAGAACTGCACCTGGAGTCTCTTCAAGTGCCGTTGATGGTCATATCCTCTTGTCTGTCCAATAGAGATCAGAGATTACCGCCGGAGTTGACCAGAGACCAGTTAGGAGAAGAATTAAATAAGGTTAGAAAATTAACTGAAAACATTTTTCAAGGGTTTGGATTTCTACCTTTGATATTTTGGAGGAGCGATGTAGTTATATACCAATTAAAAAATATTCTAAAAAAAGTTACAGCATATATTTTATATTCTGTAACGTAATGAATTAATCTATCAAAGAGCTAAGCAAGAATTAAAACGAACGATGCTGTAATCATAAAATATTTTTTATGGCCTTGGGTAAGACAATTCTGCTCACAGAATTCACATGGAACACATCTTAAAAGTATACCCCGAAGTGTACTTTACGTTAGTAGTGAACAATAGGTTGGTGAAAAAGATTTTATCTATGTTTAAACAGTTTTTTACTTATTGCTTAACAGGAACTCCATATCACAGAAAATAGCAAACGTGTGTTAATAGATGTATGTCATATGGGTTGGGAAAAGATTAAAGAGCTCACCAACGTACTCTGTCGGCTGGAGCGAGAGATCAAGAACAAAGACGAGACCTTAGAATTGGAACATCACGTTAAGGATCTTTCAAGGGACAGCTCTGATATAAGCTACAAGTTGGACCCAACTCGTGTGCCAGCGGAGTAAGTATTTACAAAGCTACGTCATTAATGGCTTCAGAGTAAGTGATTGCATTTCGAATTTTGTATTTCTATTCTCAGTTTCTTGTGCTTTAAGTAATTTGGTAAGTAAAAATTAATTATGAACAGACAAAGCATGTACTCATATGATTACTGAACTCAATGTTCTAAATACGACATTATTATTTTTTAAGCTCTAGATACATTCAAATAGAGAAACTTAACAAGCCATGTAACTTTTAGTTATATTCTGCAGAATCAAAGTATTTACCACATAGTTTCACCGCCGCGCAAAACTAGTGATTGAGGGATGCCTCACTACAGGTGTCTCATAACAAAAAACCTCTCCGCTTGCGTGTCTCCGTTTTGTCTGTTCTTACATTAAAACTTGCTGTACCTTTTTTGAAATATTCGCGTTAGGGAAGTAAACTATGATGGAACCTCCTCTCAAAAATAGAGTGACTTCCCGCGTAGGTATTAGGACAGTTTATTAGCAGGTCTGATGTTTATATACCGAGTTGCAGGCGTTCATAAGCGGCGGTAGTCGCTTTCCATCAGATGACCCCTCTGCTCGTTTGCCCACTCTTTCGTACTCTTTTCTTTCTTTCTTGTAGGTTTTTACCTACAATATTTAGGTCCGGATATATCTTACGTTTTTAAGAATGTTTCGATCGCTTGTGAAAAGAAAATATATATTTGTTCTTTATTACATTTTTTAGATCCATGTCAGAAGAAAGTTACGTCCATTGCATAGAGAACACGATCAAAATCGCGGAACAATTAATGTCTGAGTCAAAGGCTCTTCGAGAGACGATGTTCAGGACCAGAGAAACTGCTAGAAATCAGATGCACGCGCAGTGCCAGCAGGTGGAGCTAGTTATGCGAAGAAGAGTATTTGATATACAAAGGGCCCGGAATGAGATGGAGTGGCAAAAATACAAGGTTCAGTATTATAGTCAAAATTTTGGCTTCGTCTTTTTTTTTTAATTCAGCTTAGAGGTTATATAAAACAATTGATGACAATAGTATTTAATACCCAACACACCATATAAAATTTTACACCCAAATCAATGCAAATAGAGATCATGCATACATAGAAGCCGTGATCTTCGAGCCGTATCTATAACCCCTTCCTATAGGGTCTTGAAATTTATTTATGGATACCCATTTACTCAACGTGATTTCAGCTGGAACAAAATCTTGCCAAAGTTGATAAAGAGATTGAGTATTTACGAGCAGCGGTCGCAGATAAAATAAACCCGACGAAGTGTGTGGAAACACGACTGGAGATGAGAACTAGACGCCCAGTACTTGAAAGAGTTACGGTAAGTGTCTTGACGATTCTGTAGCCTCTTAAGCGTACATGATTCCAGGTACAAGTAGAAGGTTAGATTCAACGTTTCTTTGAGTTGACACACAGAACTTCGTAGGTGTCGGCGGGCGGTTGAGAAGATGAGAACCTGAGTCCTTGGCATTTTAAAGGTAGAATAAAAAGGCCATATTGTAATGTTTCAAGCTAATACTGTAACAAGTGTCTTATCGTTACAGCTGTGGCGGTTTCCATATTTTGTGGTTCTATCCACACACGAGGACATGACCTGCTCTGATGCCTTATCTTTAATGCCATCAATTGGTAGTTCTCTTGTTATTTATTAACGTCATATTCTGTGCAGGATAAACCCATGCGTGGGCTCATTGAAGAGTTTGAGAGGGTTCACACCAGTCATAATTTGTTGGAGAAGAAGTTAGAAGAAGCTATGTAAGTTTCCATTTTTTTTTAATTGTTTCTGTTTATTTATTTTTACTTTACTTACTTTTTGCACGCGTGGTTTCATTCACTATTAATTTATTATAGGACTACTTATCATGGCATGTATGACCATCATCAGCGTGTCACTAAGGACCTGCAGTACAAGAACCAGGCTTTGGAGACAGATCGAAGACTGATAGAGATCCGCAAACCTCTTCACTCACCTGAAGAGACCGAATTCAAAAGGAACGTGGGTTATTGTCATTTGAGTGAGGAGTTGGTACCCGTTTAAAATTTTGTAGGCTGGCAGCACTAAATGTTGGTGTTGCTTTACTCGTTAATGTTTTGTGTAAACCACTATTACAAGTGTTGCTAGTATCTTGTTGACCTATTGGATATTGTGTTAGTTTTTAAATAAAATAGGTAGGTATGTTGCGTAGGTTCTTGTTTTTAGTGGAGATTTATGGAAACCATTTGGATAGCCCCAGTTATTATTTATTTAATACGAGCACTCAAGTTACAAATTGCAAGTTGGCCAGGTGGAGAGAGCAGAGACAACGCCCGGGCAAAGACAATCTGTTTTACATATTTAAAACTCGACTACATTACAAGGTATTTCACACACTTCAATAAATTTATAATATAAGTTGCGAGTATTGGAACATTTGGAAAATGGATAAATGAATATGCGTGTATACAACATCGCCCAAAGGCTTCATGTTATTATTAGAAATGTTTATTTTGTATCAGTCATTGTAATTTATATTATGAAATATCAAGTTAATAGAGTCAAAGGTGAAGGAGAACAAAGGTGGTCGAAATAGCCCAACGGATTAGCGCGCTGAAGTGGCAATGAGCAGGGCACATAGCAAGGAGAACTGACGGCCGATGGGGCAGCAAGGTTCTCCAATGGAGACCACGTACTGGAAAGCGCAGTGTGGGACGACCGCTTACCCGATGGACGGACGACCTGGTAAAGGTTGCCGGAAACCGTTGGATGCAGGCCGCAATCAACCGTCCCCGATTTAAATCATTGGGAGAGGCCTATGTCCAGCAGTGGACAAGCATAGGCTGAGTGAAGTTAATAGAGTTAAATTGAATAATTTATGATAAAATATATTTATTAGATATATATAAAATTAATAGTGATAAATTAAACACTTAATGATTTGGGATAATTAAGTTCATAACAAATAGAAATTTAGAAAATGTTCATACACAGCTGTATTAGCAAGAAGTGTCGGAAATAAGTCTTGTTACACATTTTTCGGTCTCGCTCCCATCCGCTCAGAGCGTGTAACGCGCGATACGAAACTTCGTTCCAAAAACCATTCATCACTACTTCAGTAAAATGTGTGAATGCAATCGTTCAATTCAAAATCATTTGGCGGTCAGGAATGAGCGACTTAATGGTGTCATATCAAAACTCGCCATTTGCTTTTGTGTTCTAACTTTTTACACTAATTAATACGGAGCCTGAAAATAACATTTCATTACAAGAAGCAAGAACAGGGTTTTCTTTATCAAACAATAAAAACTCTTCAAGACTGTTACCATCACAGAACGTGTTCGAACAAATCGCGAAATAAACATCATTGTTAAAACTTTTTTTATATTTATTTATATAGGTAGCTAAATAACAAATGCTGTGCTGATTAAATATAATTAATAAATATAAACGTAAGATAATATGTCATGACATGTTTAAAACAAGTTAAATATTGGTGTTCAATTACATTACATAACCTTTAGAACACATTACGTTAAGCATAGTTTACATGCGGTCGAGGCTTGCCAAACGTCCATAACAATGACACTTAGAGTTCATATTGGATTCAGTATTTTATTAAATATTTGGAATGTGGTCTGTAGTTTTTGGTAAGTATTTTAACTCACAAAGATAAGGCACCATACATTGTAGCTGTAAGTCAAGAAACAGGATAATAAAACAATTTATCATTGATTTAAGTTTTTTGATGTGTTACATATTTCTTGAAAAGGGACGGAAATTTATAACAAAGTCGTGAAAGCGCGCGCTAATAGGGAATATGCATGTATTTTTTTAATTTTTTTAAACGATTCTACTAGTTATTACATTACCAAAAATAAATATAACACATCCGAAATATAAACCGTTAAGCAAAAAAAAATAATTAAAATCACTATCATTTTGGGGCAATTTGAACACGTCCATTTTGGCGCGCTTTTTTTGTGACGTCAAATTACACTTTCAGACGTATTCGATATCAACAACGGAGTGAAGTTCACAAAGTTTGTGAAAGTTAAAAAAGTGAGTGATAAAAATTAACTTATTACCATGGAAAAGCCAATAAAAACTTATTATAAATATTGTGCCGTTCCTTTGTGCCCAAATAATATCAAAACTGCACCTGACAAAGTATATTCAGTCATTGTGTTGAGTCTTTCTACACGGGAATTTAATAATTTAACACTGAAAACGTATTAGTTATTAACTTAAAATGAAACAAATAATCACCAGAAACCAAATATTACAAATACACACAACTTGTTGACACTCTTGACAGTGTAGGTTGACGTCACGTTTTATTCAACCAATAGCGTTGCGTTTTAGAAATTTGCGAGGGAATCTTAAAAAAGCCAATTTTTGATGATTAAATTTCACTATTAAATTATAATAAATTTCAAAAATAATTGTATGGGTATCTTTTTTTAGCAATAAAAATTACAAATAAAAATATTTTGTCCATTTTGGTGTCACGTGCATATTCATATTAATGAGCGCGGTGCTACAGTTGTCCGTCAGATGCCAGGTGACATATTAGATGTTACAGATGCGACTAAGGTATGGCTCGCTGGTTTTTTTCAATACTTATGAGCGAGCGCTTCTTATTTGTATTTCAAATTGTATATATTCAACACGCGCATTTTGCTTAGAAAAGGCACTAAACAGACATATATTCAAGTATAGATTTATAATAATTTTTAAATTATGATAAATACAACGGTGTAAGTAGAACAGTAGACAAATAAAAATGTAATCAAAATACTATGTAGCGAAATATATAAAAACGATACTTATATCTGTTTTTTTTATTGGCAACCCTTACTCGTGACTCTACAGTTGCAGGTGTCTATGGGCGGCGGTAATCGCTTACCATCAGGTGACACGTCTGACTGAATAAATAAAAACATTATTTCTAAAACCTTTTAATTAAATATTAAACATAGTAGAGAAATAAACAAACAAAAACTAATTAACGAACGATAAATGAAGACCTAGTTATGGAAATCATGTTGTGTTGTTGAATTTTCAACGCTCAGCAAGAAGTATTTAATGCTTTTTTATGTTCTTTGTTTGTAATCAATGTTTTGTTTTTTAATACTTTGTAATTCAGATGTGATGAAGATTATGAAAATGTTACATATTGTTACACTTTGATGACCCCCTCCCCTTTAACCGAGACGTAATTTATGGATGGCCAATTTTATTTCTTTTCCTATGCGGAAATCCCCTCGGATATTACCCACCGGTAGGGTTATTATGTCGGACTCGAACCGACAAAAAACCGCACGTCGTCTCAGATACCAGTAACCGGAAAATCAGGTGTACTCTAGAAAGGCAACCCCGGTACCCCGACGTACCTCGGGCCATCCACGGCGTGTAGATGACCCCCTCCTTTGTGGGAACCCCATTGTACCCTTTGTGCTCCCGAAAGGGCGAGCGCGCTCGACAGCGCGTCTCGCCGCCACTCCGGCCTGCTTCTGCTAGGGTGACAAATGGCCTCACCTGTCACTTCCAGGCCTGCGCTTTTAGAGGACGAAGGTCATTCTGCGACGTTCGGCGCCCGAGTCGTTGCGGATCAGACACAGGTGATCTCCGAAACATTCCTTTCCCGGTGATCACCTCCGTAAGCCGGTATGAGAGGATTCCGTGACGCCTATCTAGTCAATCCTCCATAACTGGTCTTGCCGCCGCAATAACGGCGTGTTATAGATGTCCCCTGACCTTACATTTTAAATAAGAATAAAATAAAAGTGTAGTCTTTTTCGATATTTTTGAACTTCAACAAATAAATGCCAGAAATAGTGAAAATCTAACATGTGTTCATATTATGTAATACAACAAAACCATAACAGATAACAAATGTGTACTTTCCCGCCTAAATAAACACCATAGCCAATTTTTTTTCTTTTTATATTGCCTGCAACTCAGGCTTAGGGCCTACTTTTTCGTAGGCCTCGTCTAATAAGGAACATATTAAGCTTATATTTTCATCTGTTAGTTTTCTGCTTGCAGCTAAACGAATAGAGGGTTCTGGGCAGTTGACTTCTACATCTCTGAGATAAGCAGCCACAGCCAGTGCTACGCCTTTTTCTAAACAATAGTTGGCAATGTTACGAAGATATGAATGCTTCAGTCTATCTGTCAGGTCTTCCTTATTGAGGTATATGTGCTTGATTGGTGAGATCTCATCCCCTCGGAATCTGAAGTATTTGAGTTTGGATAATGCTCTGAAAATTAAGATAATAATTATTTTTATTTGTTTTTTTCGTACAAATTACAGATACAGGCTTTTGGTATCACGTGAGATCAAATACGTGCCGCGTTCACCGTTGCGATTGGCGCACAATAAGCTATTTACCAATCACAACGACGAAAGCGATCACCGCGAAGATTCAATAGAAGTGAAATAAGCTTACAATAAAGCTTAATACGCCCTCTGGACCCGTATAGTTTAATGTTGCCGTTTGTATATACTTTATGAGCACATATTGTTTAAAAAATTAGCTCTCTGTGCTTTTTCTAATTTTTCATCACATTTTCAAATTCATGGGTAAATAATCGCTGATACTGAGTCCTTGAAGTTATTTCTATTAATAAATACCTGTTTACTTAACACGCAAACGTTATCAGATCATAAAATTTAGTCGTAAATTCGTACATAGGTTATAAAACGTTTTTTCAAGTGAAAACTGAAAAAACAAAAGAATGTATTTTTATAAGATGAAAAAAAACCATTGAACTCGCGACATTGTTACCGTTTCCAACACATATCACACATAGTCACAGAAGAACAGTCCGTGCGGATTAAGAATACAGAGTGTCACCACCCCTATTCATCCCGTGGGTGTCGTAAGACCCGACTAAGGGAAAAAACTACGCAGAACAACAGCACTGCAGAGAGAAGGAAAACTTGAAACAAACCCTATACCACCCCGTCTGGCCAGCGTGGTATAGTAGGCCAAAACCACCTTTCTAAGGAAAGGCCTATGTCCAGCAGTGGACTGTTACAGGCTGTTGATGATGGAATAAAGATATTTTGAGTTAGAGTTTGAGTATGGAAAATGGACTAGGGCTGATTAAATATTTTTAAGGAACAGCTATAGAGTCTCACCCGTTCAGTTTCTTTGATACAATATTAAGTTCTTCTATAATATTCGGCCTCTCTTCTATTATGTCCAACGCGTTGATGGCGGCTTGAGTCAACATCGGTGGCAAGGAAGCACTGAAGCAGTAACCTAAAGGAACGTAGATATTCATTGTGGTTACTGCCATTTACAACTCGATTACACTGTAATCTATACTAATATTATAAAGCTGAAGAGTTTGTTTGTTTGAACGCGCTAATCTCAGGAACTGCTGGTCCGATTTGAAAAATTCTTTCAGTGTTAGATAGCCCATTTATCGAGGAAGGCTATAGGCTATATATCATCACGCTAAGACCAATAGGAGCGGAGCACCAATGAAGAATGTTTCAAAAACGGAGAAAATTAATTACTATTGAGAGACGCAGACGAAGTTGCGTGGGTCAGCTAGTTATGTTATAAAATGACTCTCATAATTAAAATCTAGGAAACTAATTGAATTCATATTAATAAGTAGAAGGTTTCTTTGAAAAGGAAAGATACGAGGAAAGTGAAATCATACCCATACGTTACCCAGAATGACCACATGCACACACACACACTCATACACATACACACACGCATGCGTGCGCACGCTCACACACACACTAACATAAACGAACTATACTCAGTGTATTAAAGGTTACTTTGCCTCATTTTGCTCAGGTAGTCTTATTTTGTGGTATCATCAATGTATTAGAAGAAAAACTAAAAAGTAGTTTAGTTAAATATCAGTAGGAAAACTTCCTGTAGAAAAAAAAAGGGACGGGCAGATAGACGGATAGACGGACAGACAGACAGACAGACAGACAGACGGTCGGACAGCGAAGTCTTAGTAATAGGGTCCCGTTTTACCCTTTGGGTATGGATCCCTAAAATACATTTCTTACCAAGGCCAGAAAGTCTCTGATGTTCCACAATAAAGTTCGTACCAGCGCAGAACCCTCCGACGGTTGCGAATGAATGCTCCAACGAACCAACAATCAGGTCGATTTCTCCACGAGGAATGTCTAATAACTCGGTTATACCGCGACCGTATTTACCGACAACCTGTGGTAGCAAAATGATACATTAGAACCGACTTAAGTGTCAATGAACTATTTACGATTATTTTTTTGAACCAAAATAAATTTAAGGATTCAGCTACCGTACTGGTTTTAAACGTCATTTTTGGCGCCAAAGTTATAACAGTAATACTGTCAACAAAAAAATGTGTAGTACAAAAAAGCTTTAAATGTTCAGTTATAATAACCATTCAACCTTGTTTCGTCATGGTCATTGCAAATATCTCACGTAATTATGTAGTCATTTACCGCCAAAAAAAAATGACCTGTGTTTACTACCATTCTAAAGTCAAAATGCTAACCATAAACAATTTTTTTTTTAATTAGAGCAATCAATTGAGTAATTTTACATTATATTTCCTCACCAAGCTACTTTCATCTTTTATTATCTTTAAAGAGTGGGTTTTTGAATATACACTGTATTTATTATGTGAACGTGTCTCAAATATAGACAGCACAAATCAACTACATTGCCCTGTTTCAGAATTGGAATGGACTTGGCCGAATTGTAAGAATTAGAGCGGTAATTGAACTGAGAATTACAATCATAGTTTCGAATTCAACATTTAGGTCACAAGTTTGACGCATCAATAAGAAATAAATTACACATCAGTATATTTAAATGATAGTTATTCAGCATATTGACGTAAAAGTGACAATACCGCAATCTTTTAGATCAAATAGGAGTGTGGTGACGGATTAAGAATACAGAGTGTCACCACCCCTATTCATCCCGTGGGTGTCGTAAGAGCCGACTAAGGGAGTAAACTACGCAGAACAAAAGCACTGCAGAGAGAAGGAAAACTTGACCCAAACCCTGGTCTGGCCAGCGTGGTATAATAGGCCAAAACCTCCTTTCTAAGGAGAGGCTTATGTCCAGCAGTGGACTATTAAAGGCTGTTGATGATGATGGTTGATGAGGAGTTAATGACAATTTGCCGTCGATATAACCTTTTCATCCCTATAAGATGGATTTTAGAACAGTGGATTTAGAACTTAATAAATTTCATGTTTCCCTATTATCTGTTTACACACTTATATTCATTGTCGTCATTTTCCTGACCTGCTCCTAAAATGGCCGGCCCTCTGGCTGACGCCAATCCTCCTCGTAATCCAATATAATCGTTTTCAGATATAACAAAGGGAGAAGGCTAGCTGTCTAAGGTAAGGATAGTGCACGTTTATGATGGGAAACTGTACTAAGATACATCTTAGTACAGTTTCCCATCATAAACGTGCATGCATTGTAATGTAAACTAAGATGTAACATATTGACAAATGTAATGTCCATCCTATGATTTGAGTGGCCACTAGGATACGGACATCTACTATCAATATACACACTTATTTTATGAAAACCAAAAAAGTAATTCAAATCAAAGAGATAATACTTACACCAATTGTCAAGCTCTCATCCAAGAGAATCCTCAGCTTATATTGCCTGGCTAACTGCACCAGCCGTTTCAACGGACACATTTCTCCAGTGTTGTAATATATAGATTCTATAACTAAGAAGGCTCTTCGGCGAGGGTTTAGTTCCTTTTTGCTTAATGCTTCAGCTAGCATTTTCTCTAAATCATCAGCATTATTGTGTTTGAAGTAACGGACAGTGCTCCGTGAGGCATCTAATCCCTTTTGGATTGCAAACCAGACGCATTCATCACTGGAATATTACACTGTTATAAATAACAAGATTTTTCGGTTATCGCGGTTAAAAGAAGCATATTTCCTTCCTCAAGAATCAAAGTATCTTCAGGCCAAATTTCATTGAATTCGGTTCAGCGGTTTAGCCGTGAAAGTGTTACAGAAAGAGTTATTTTTGGACTTATAATTTTAGTACGGATAGAAACCAGTATTAATTGTTGGTGAAAGTTGCAAAATGGGGGTTGGAAATTTTTATAAAACTTCGTTATTTTATTAGTAGCGTTTTCAAACTCACAGTAAATACTCTTTATTAAAAGAAATAAGAAACATTATTATAAATTTTTCAAAACTACCATTAAAAAGGGTTACAAGTGTGTATGAACTATAATAATAATATAAGATGAATATTTCATTAATAACATCAAAATAATGTCAAAAAAATCCTTGCCCAAAAATAGCCTATGTGCTACTCCAAGATATACCAAATCTTCTTTTGCGCTAATTTTCATTAACATGTACCTAAGTACATGTTAATTTTCAATGTGTTGTGTAACAAATAACCATCCAAACTTGCGCATTCATTACAAATTATTAAAAATGTTTAGTTTGTTTGAGTTGGTTGTTTGGTTGGTTTGAATGAAATAAGTTCTGCAGCAATTGAGATTAAACTTAGACATGAAATACAACCAGTCAGTTATGTTTCTTATTTCTCATCAATGCAACCATAATATGTATGTATTTACAAATATATAAGTATGTTTATCAGCAGGATGGTTCCCAAAGTACAGACAGCCTTGTGTGAGATGTGTGAAGTTATTATTATATATGTTTGTTTAAATATGCTAATCTCTGAAACTATCAGTCTGATTTAATAATAATATAATATTTTCACGCATAGCCGTCTGATCCAACACTATGCAGAGCCTGTACTATGGTAACCGGACTTACATACAAATTATAGATAAAGTACACCCAGATACAGAACAAATGACAAATTTCCACAATTATCTGTCCTGGGTTGGAGTCGAACAAACAACCTCTGGATAGCTGTCAGTGACACTAATGACTAGACCCACAGGCCAGTTAAATGTTTCAATAATTCTTTTTGTATTGGATAGAGCACTTATTGAGTAAGGTTAATTGCTATTCAGTATCATGCAACAATCCTTAAGAAAGAAGCAGTGACCTTAAGCACAGGTCAAACTGCAGCAGATGGCCAGTAAGACCATAATAAAAATCCTTGTGATTATATTATCTTTTAAGGGATATTCTTATAGTTTATGAAGTTTATAGATTCAGTTTTCAATGGAGTAAAACAAAAAGTTGAGTAGAATTTCTGTGTGTACAGACTTTTTCATAATTAGACTTATTTGCAAGACAGAACATTTTTATTTTTTACATTGAAGTCGTAAATCATTTAGAAAAAAAAAAAACCTTTAAATTAAAAACTTACGCAAATACTATGTCTCTTCTCTTAGCATATGATGGTATTGCACTAGCAATAGTTGAGAAACCGTAAGAGTACACACAGGTCTCATCTACTTCGAGAAATTTTGCAAGACGTTCCTCCAAGTCTAAATGTACATCAATCGTTCCATAAAACCCTCGGGGTCCACATGACCCCACACCGTATTTGTCTAAAGCTTTTAAAGCACCATTCATGATAGATTCCTCCTTATGAAGGCAAAGAAAACTAGTAGCCCCCACGTTCAAGACATTCTCATCAATTTTACCCATCAAAGGAGGTTCTTCAACAGCAACATCGTACTCTACGATGGGCAGAGGCTTCCAGTTAGTTGGAACTCCTTTACTCAGAGGATCGTCGTCCTTAGACTTCTTTTTGCTCCAAAAGTAATAAGCTGATATAATTATAACCTGTAAACTAACTATCAATGTCCACCAGCCCGCCTGAAAGACAGTTACTCATTAGAATTAGGTAGATTTGAAATAATAGGTTGATGCAAATTAAATGGGACGAAACATACCATGTCGAACATATCAACCAAGATCATTTTGTACAGCTTATTCTACGTATTCAATTAATAGTAAATTACTTATTTATGCCGAAACTATTCTGATAAGTTAGAAGAAGCGAGCGATAATGTGACTAATGATATGATATGGTAAACCGCTCGTACAACGGAACAGAATACTAATACACTGTCAAATGAGAAATAACAGTGACAATCAGTGTTGCCAACAGTTAAATAAACTCTCCACCATTTTCAACATCTAAAACAACCACCCAACCCACTACCGAAAAACGACCCTACGCTAATAGGCACTAAACATTTATTTTTAGTAATTACCAAAGAAAACAATAAGTAAAAAAAAAATTAATAACTGGTTTCCTTAATATTTTTAAAACTAATACTGATGCTAATCGTTTTTCTCAGCACCATCATCGTTGGTCCCAGATTAATAGTATTCTTTTGGTGCCAATTTGTTTTACAACGTATATTGGAATTTAATATTTGTGGCAGCGTTTTCCTTCCAGCTTCAAACCACAGCTTATTCCTAATATAGCAGATAAAAGACTTCATTCTATTCCTCTGTTTATACCTATGGTCTCTCAACTCAATATCGACACTGAAACTAGGCAGTATTAAAAGAGTAATACCAAAGGTCACTAATTCTTCAATGTCGAGGTCCCTTGGCCTCTTTTGGTAGTTTTTAGTGTTCTGTCAGTAGTTAGTAATTTTTTAACACTGGTATTGTTTTTTGACTGTTGATTGCAAAAACTAAATAGTGAGAAACTTTGGCATTACCAGTGTCGCCAACCTAGTGGATTTTCCACTAATACTGGTGGTTTCGACCCCCCGTTTGTGGCGAAATTTTGCTTTTAGTGGCTAGTGCATTTTTTTGTGGTGCAACTTATAAAGTAATCTTAACTACAGCTGCAATTGTAGTAACAGCATTTTTGCGTACACGCACTAGTCTCAATCTAGATAGAATTGCAGAACTGTTTATATTCTGTAGGTCTGTGAGTACCTACTGACACAGTTATTTTTATGATAGGCACATATTTTTTCTTTGTTACAAATTCTGCGCGCGTCCGTTTGTAACCTCGCACCCCAAGGCACGTTCCTACTTTGCCTAAGGGATAATCCGACACTATAGGAAAGACTATAGCAAAGATGGGGATTGGATAGGAGTGCTAAGGAAGAGAAGGATTATTAATTTTTGGCAATGCGATGGTGTAGGTTTTGTGCCAGAGAGAGGACAAGGTTTCGGGGTCGAGAGAGTAGTTAATAATGTGGGCTATAACTTCGAGGGCGTAATCCAGGATGGTAATTATCATCCTACGGCTTGCAAACCGTTGCATTACACAGACAGACCGAATGATCTTTTAATGTACCCAGAAGGCACAGGAGAAAGTTCAAAGTTGACAAAATTGGGTCTGGGCAGACTAGCCATATAATTCAGGGACCGACTCTATGTTTAATGATCCGATTGAGTAGCAGAAGAGAAATGAAGATTGATTTCACGCAAATGTTGAGTCGAGAGATTATAGGTATTAAAAAAAGAAAAAGAATAAAGTAAAAAGTTGGAAAGAAAATGCTACAAAAAATATGAAATACAAATAAACATTGTACAACAACTCGAATCGTATTAATCTCGAACCGACGATGACGTTGCTGACAAAAACGATTAGTATCAGTGATACATTTTAATAAAGGAAACTAGGTATTGGAATGGTTTCCTTATGGTTTTGTTTCCTAATTACAATAAAAATGTTTAGTGGAAAATTTAATGCCTATTAGAGTAGGGTAGTTTTTCGTTAGTGGTTTTCTGTTGGTTTTAGATGTTGCATCTGGTGTAGAGTTCATTTAACTGTTGGCAACATTGGCACTGTTGGCACAACATTACTCGTTGGTTGTCAAATGTCAATATTATCATGTTTTGCACAGTGTTCGCACCGTAACACAACAAAAACTCATTTTAGAGAGTATTATATCGAAACCACAATGAACTTCGGTGGAACTTTAAGAGTGAATAAATTTGCGTGCTTTACATTAGTTTTTATATTATTTTTATTTATTTATTGGCGCTCAGGTTCTAGTTATCCTGTTGAGAAAAGTGATCTTGTCAACTTAAAAAGTTTACTAAAGGCCTCGATATACGCCGCTGAAGTAGGCGGGAAAAAGGTGGTGGATGGTAAAAAACACGAGTTGAACATCAAGAGTAAAGGAAAGACCCAGGAAGGGGCTAATGACCCGGTTACGGATGCGGACTACGCTTCGCATTGCGTCATGTATTATGGGTTAAAAAATACATTTCCGAAACTGAATGTTGTGTCGGAAGAGCATTCCAAAGGTGACTCTGCCTGTGAAAACCAGCCAGTGATAGATTTTAGTAAAAATAATCAATTAGATTTAATTGATTTTATGAACGATGAACTTGTGTATGCAAGAGATGTAACGATCTGGATTGATCCATTAGATGCCACTCAAGAATATACAGGTAATGAAATAATTAAAAATAAAAATAAATCTTAGGGATTCCTATCACTTTGCTTTGCTTAAACATAGTGTGATACTGTGTTGTAATGAGACTGGTTTGTTTAGATTTCTTATTGGATATTTTGGAACTGTAATAGAATCTATAAGAAGTACCGTAATGGGCCTGTTGGTCTAGTGGTTAGTGACCCTGACTGCTAAACCAGAGGTTGTGGGTTTGATTCCCATGCAGGACAAATATTGTGTGATGAGCACGGTCATTTGTTCTGTGTCTGGGTGTAATTTATCTATAATATGTATCTATATAAAAATAAATAATATATTTATCAGCAGTCTGGTTACCGTAGTACAGGCTCTGCCTAGTTTTTGATCAGAGGGCTGGTGTGAGGTATATTATTAACAAAAAAAACTTGTAAGAATAGTTATATCACTTACTGTCACCATAAAAATATATCAAAAAATCCTACTCTCAAACAGAATAATGTAATGTTCCATAGTAAAGGCCAGAGTTTTTAATTTTGCTCATTAGAAGGTTGAGTGAGAGAATAAATATTTCTGATAAGCATATACTCTCCTTTCTAAGAGAGGCCTATGTCCAGCAGTGGACTATTAAAGGCTGTTGATGATGATGATGATGATATACTATACCTTTTCATCATTTCATATGCTTTGCTTTTCATCAGGTATTCATAGTACATTGACAGCCTTTAATAGTCCACTGCTGGACATGCTGGCCAGATGGGTGGGTATAGGGTTTGTGTTAAGTTTTCCTTCTTTGCAGTGCTGTTGTCCTGCATAGTTTTCTCCGTTAGTTAACTCTTATGACACCACGGGATGGATTCTTAATCCGTTACCACACGGAGTGCCACTACCATCAGGTATTATGACAGACAAATTCGAACTGTCAATTAAAACAAGTATCAATAAATGGTTATTCACATTGCACTTTAGCCATTAAGAATTATGTGTGCCTGCACCCTATTTGCTTACAAATACAACATTAAAGCTGCTTATAAGTAAGGTAATAAGGGTGTTATTATTCTTAACTCTTAGGACGTCGCGGCGCGCGGATGACCTATGACCCGTTACTGTCGCGCCCTTGAACTAGTGATCCAATCACAGCTGAGCGAAGTCATTATTACCTCAATATCTACGTTATTTTATAATTATATTCAATGAAATAAACATATTTGGAATCCCTGGTATAAATTATTCTAAATGTTGTGACAGAGACGCTACCGCATAAAAATGGTGTCACAACTGTTGTGACGGCGACGCGTCGGAGGTTAATGTAATAGGTACTAGGTATACATATTTTTAACAACAAATAGCTGCACTGTTCTACTAGGCACATAGTCTGTAGAGATAATTGTATTGTGTCATAAATGAATTCTAAGATTATCATTGATAATAGTTAATAGATTATTGATGATATTCTGTTAAACCTTAATTTCCAGAGGCTCTTTACCAGTATGTGACAACAATGGTATGTGTTGCCATTAGAGGAGTGCCCATTATTGGAGTTATTCACTATCCGTTCTCTTCTCGTACCTATTGGGGATGGTTCACAAAAAGATACTCCATAAACATGCCTGTTGTGGAACATGTAAGTAATATTTTTTCACTTTTGCTTTTTAAAATACCGCTCGCGAACTTAGAATATATCAGTCATGGGGGATTTTACAAAATTTAATTATTTTTTTGTCTGTGTCTGTCTTTCTATCTGTCTGTTTGTTCCGGGTAATCTTCAAAACGGCTGGACCGATTTTGATAACATTTTACTACCAAGTAGCTGTCTACATAAGGAGTAAGATTTTTCTCTCAGAAAACCCTTTAAAATTTTGCCTGGTCCGGGAATCGAACTCACTTTGCGAACTCAAATTCCATGCGAACGAAGCTAGTTTTAAATAAATATTACACGTAGACACAGAACGAATAACAATGCTCATCATAAAATATTTGCTTAGCTTAGCAGTCAAGGTCACTCACCACTAGACCTCTACATTTCGACTACTGTCAGTTTCAGTTATTTTTTTTAATAAGTTGTCAGGTTTCTTATGATATCTATTACAACTACCCAAACAGAGGTTGTGTATAGCAATAAAATTTCTACGGGAAAGGTGAAGTTGAATATCAAGTCAAACCATTTTTAGGATTCCGTACCTCGAAAGGAAAAAGCGGAACGGAAAGGAAAAAAAAAGTATTTATTTAAAGTACGTAATCAATCATCGAGGTACAATTTCACTTATAAAACACAAATAAGTAATTATAGGTTTTTGAAACTGAATTTCGGAAAAAACTGCTAGACTATGATGGAATCCTCGGTGGGCGAGTCCTCGCACTTGTTCGGATTTTTTTAATGACAAAACTATAGGCTCTGTAGAAATATATCCGGAATACCGGATTGTGACGTAATACCCCGCTATAGTCACATGTGCCATATTATTTATAACTTCAATTATATTTTCACATTTCCAATAAAGTAATAGGTGTATAAAAGCTATTTACCGGAAACATACTTATCGTTTTTCATATCATTTAATGGATTCCACTTTTAACCTAACACATGTAACCGATAATGGTTTTTTTAACTAACATTAGTAGATTATGATAAAACAATTATATTAACTTGCCATTATTAGCTTTTCTTTAAGCTACGTAAACAAATGTTCGAAGTTAATTTTTGTCGTAGCGAATCGAAATAAATTTTATGTAGGTTTGATGACAGTACTATAATTTGCAGCCAAGGGTCAATCCGCTGTTGAAAGACTAAGGGCTATGTCAAAAAATGCTATGAATTGACTAAGGTTTGTTTGGTAGTCTCAGGAACTACTACTGGTTCGAATATTACTGTTCGTTTTAAAAAATAAATAAATTTCGACAAAGCGAATAACTGTTTTTTTTTAGGTTTTGATTACGTTGTGGCTTGAAAATATAGATTTTTACTTGAATTTGTTTTTAATTGTACTTCTGGTTAGTTGAGAATCTGGTGAGTTGCGAATCTAGTGAATTGAGAATTCGGTGAACAGCTTATAATCCTTTTTAACTAATTCAATTGTGTTACTCAACGTGGACATTTGCCGATATATGATTAGCTGTACCCCAGTTTCTAGTCGTGTAAAAATGATTAAAATCGGTTTAGTAGTTTCAGACTAGCAAACTTTAGTAATAAAGATATAGTGTTCATCACACAACTATTTGTCCTCGATGGGAATCGAACTCGAGGTCATAAGCGTCATTGGAAGAGTATCAGAACAACGCTAAGGAAATTTTAAGCTCCCTTATAATTTTTGGCTTTAGCTATATTACGAGGGTCTAGTAGGGTTCACATTTCTAGGTTGTAAGGGCTGATTTATAACTCATTTATACCTTCATTTAAACATATTCTCATCTTCCAGAAAGAGGAGAACAAAGAACATCCAACAGTTATTGTGTCTCGCTCACACGCAGGCAAAGTCATCAACTTAGCCAAAGAAGCCTTCGGTGAGAAGACCACAGTAGAGTCAGCAGCTGGCGCCGGCTACAAAGTCATGGCGGTAGTCAATGGGACTGCTGACGTGTATCTTCACGCCACAGCCATAAAGAAATGGGACATATGCGCTGGTGACGCGATAATAAAGTCTGTAGGTGGCAAAATGACAACCTCGAACGGTGATTTAATCAACTATTCCAGTGACAGTGAAGTGAAAGTTACTGATGGTATATTAGTGACCAGGTATGATCACGAATATTATTTGAGTAAAATACCTAACGTTATAGAGTCTATGCACTAGCTAATATTGTTTTTATGGAGACTAGAAGTAAGAAGTAGTATCTTGTGTCTTGATAAAAAAATTAATAATAGTGCCGAAACTCACAACAATGGCGCTAATTTAGGCATAGGTGCTGACGGCCGTTAGGCGGTCATCATGGTAACTGTAACATGAACTCATCACAAAATTATTTCTACTGGGAGGGGATCGAATTCACATCTTCTAGCTACGGTTGGGACACCAACCACTAGACCAAAGACCAACAGGCCAGTGAAATGATATGAAATTAGAAATTTTAGACGGAGTGAAGTTTATCAAGTTGAATTTTTTTTTTATTTAAGGTTTGATAAATACGCCATACTTAGAAAACGTTGCATTGTCTCGTTTTATTAGATGTTTTAGTAGCGCTACCTATTTAATGGCTACTGTTGACCGGCCGGTGACGGATTAAGAATACCGAGTGTCGCCGCCCCTATTCATCCCGTGGGTGTCGTAAGAGCCAACTAAGGGAAAAAACTACGCAGAACAACAGCACTACAGAGAGAATTAAAACTTGACACAAACCCTATACCAACCCGTCTGGCCAGCGTGGTATATTAGGCCAATACCCCCTTTCTAAGGAGAGGCTTATGTCCAGCAGTGGACTGTTAAAAGGCTGTTAATGTGATGATGAATACATTTTCATACACCGACGGATGGTACTCCTTGGGATTTCAGCTTCTTTATTTAGCTCCAAAAATTGTCAATTATGTGTTGAGATAGGGTTAGTTAGTTGAGTCAATTTAGTTCCTTTTCGAAATAAAGCAGCCTTGTAGTATAGTGCTTCTTCGTTCTTTTTACTTCTTCCGCATTCTTAGCTACACAAGAATCTTAAAGAGCTCGAATAAATCTGACAGTTGAACTGGCAGAAGATTGCTGTTGAAGATATTTGTCTTTCCCAATATTGATAGTACTCCTTACGTCTAACCTCCACAATAAAGTGACTTAAAAATTTCGGGTATGTGATGTGTTGTTAGTAGACTTGCAACGAATAGTATATTCGGCAGTATACCGAATACCGAATATTCGGCGAGGCCCCTGACCGAATAGCCGAATATTAGGCAAAAGTATTCGGCTGGATTTTAGCGCCAAAAACTTGTACAGACGTGAATTAAATTATGTACCTGTTTTAGGTACAAATGACTACTTAATAAATGATTATAAAAGAAATGAGAACCTTACCCTTCTAAATTTTGATTACCACAATAATTCAAATACATAGAATCCTCCATTTTTCCAATTCAGAAGATGATTATGTACCTGTGTTATGCACCAATGACTACTTAAATGATTATAACAGAAATGAAAATATGAATATATACGTAATCAATCGATTTTAATTTTTCATTTTACCAATTATTTCTCAATGACAAAATATATTATTTAAGTATTCGGTATTCGGCCGAATAATATGTAGATATTCGGTATTCGGCCGAATATAATAAAAGCAGCCGAATATGCCGAATACCGAATAGTAACCGAATATTCGTTGCAAGTCTAGTTGTTAGTATTATTTAATTGGTTGTTATGAAAAATTTTTAGAGCAGGCTTCTGTACATAATTTGTAGGTAATTAATATATATTATGTAAAACGTAATTATGTCTGTGGGTGCAACTGTCCTTGAGTCAAATTTGATGTAATCCACGATTACATCATATGTACATACTAAAATTGTATGATTTTAAAATGTACCTAATACGTCTACTTTAAAATATTGTTAAATTCTTTTTTATTCAATGTACACTTTTTAATATTTATTTTTATAGTGATTTCTATTTTTATCTATCCATTCTATGTATATAAAAATAAATGAGTATTTTTATGTTACATTATTTTTTTCGTGTATTTTTTTTTTGGTAACGACACCACCGTTCACAAAACTAACACAAAACTCATGCACTAGGTATCAATTTTTTTTCATGCGCAGGGTCACGACTATGACCTTTTTCAGGAGTTGCTTTAAATATAGCAGATGAAGTGAAACACTGACACGGTGACAAAATTAATAGTTATTGGAAAATATCGGATCAAGTTTTTAAATTAATCTAGTTTTTTTTTAATTACAATGGATACAAATGTTATGTTTTACGAATCCCTTGTGAACTCGACCAGTTTCAACATTATTATTAAAAATAACACATAACGAATTGTTTTATTTCACGTTATACATCATTGGTCAGCAGTAGTGTCTTTACCAAAAAAAAATGTGTTAAGTTTTTTTTTGAATTCATATGTTCCACCACACTTAGTCTTACTTATACAATAAACGGGTGGGACTAAAATTATAGGAGTCAAATTTTGGGCATTTTTATACTGCTTTGTTTACTTCTTCAGAAATAGCGGCGTGAGTGTATATAATGTAAAATTGAAATATAGTTTTATTTTATAAAAATTACTGTAATAGTCAAATATGAAAGGGATAAAACCCATTTCGTTTTTGACTATAGATGATGTGAATTCCAATCTTAAGTCGTGTGATGATGATTCTCGAGAGCTGGATATTAATTTTATTTTTACACGCTTTATATTAGCTTCACTTGTATGTTTGTAACCGACTCCTTTGGGCGTGATTTTGACTGACTTTAAACGGTCAGAATTCGTTCAAACTTTGTAAATATATCGAGGACCGATGACAATACATTAATTTAAAAAAAAAATAGTTTAAAAAAACATGCTTTCTAAGAAAATAAATTTGAAAAAAAGCGTGGGGTGCTTTTTACTATTGACAACAGGCACCAAACGCTTTTTTCAAATTTATTTTCAATTTTTTAGTTTGGTTTTCTATAGAAAGCGTGTTTTTTAGTTTTTTTTAACTATAATTTTGTTTTAACTGACAAAAAGGAGTTGTTATTATTTAATGGTTTTCATCTTCGAACTTATATATATAAACCGATTTGAAACATTATATTCTTATTAGGAAGGGTTTTGATTCCTTTTGGTCCCATGATAATGATATGTAAAATGACTCGTGTGCATTAAAAAATAATGTTCATCATCATCTGAGCCTTTCCCCAAGCTATGTTAGGGTCAATTTTCAGTATAGTATGACACACGGCTGAACATAGTTTTTTTACGTGGACCGACTGTCATCAGACTTCCACAACACAAGCACTATAGTCCATCAACGTCGTGCGCGACCGTCCTGCGGGGTGACAGACGGTGGCGGGGACGAGGTACTCAACGTGTCAACGGGTAGCGGGTGGTGTAGCGGGGAAGGGACACACTTGTCTTCGTGTGTGTGCTAGAATGACGCGCTACCTCGCACCCGCCACTGTCTGTCACCCCGCGGGACGGTCGCGCACGAGATTGCCGGCTTATCGGCGATATCGAAGATCTGTAAATAGACTGTTGTCGGGGTTTTTTTAGGGCTCCAGCTACCAATAACGATTGCCACTGCTGTTTGTATGGCAATCGTTCATCAACAGCCTTTAATAGTCCACTGCTGGACATAAGTCTCTCCTGAGAAAGGAGGTTTTGGCCTACTATACCATGCTGGCCAGACGGGTTGGTAAAGGGTTTGTGTCAAGTTTTCCTTCTCTCTGCAGTGCTGTTGTCCTGCTTAGTTTTTTCCCTTAGTCGTCTCTTACGACTCCCACGGGATGAATAGGGGTGGTGACACTCTATATTCTTAATCCGTCACCACACGGACCAATGGCAATCGTTACCGACGGCCTAACTAACGTGCCATCCGAGGCACGGAGAGGTCTCAATGATTATGAATGGTCACCCATCCATCGATTGATCTGGTTAGGATTGCTTAACTTTGCCTTGGGTTAGCACCTGCTCGGTTATATTTAAAATGATTTAAGCCGGTGTGTTACGTTGTTGTTGTGATTCATGTAAATATTTCAACTCTTAGCACTGTAACGTTTGACTAGTTTTATATCTAAGTTAATTAAAAATAATAGGGTATTTAATATCTATTTATAAATGTTACAAATCGATTGGCTTTTTATTTGTGTACATTTGTATTGTTCTAACTGTTATAATCTTTGTAACATAGTTGTAATGAATATTAAACGATAAGGATACAACGGTGTCGCTAAACGAACCTGTTACTTTTTAACCGACTGCGCCAAAAGGAGGGTTATGTGAGTTTACGTATGTATTTTTCTTTGACACTCTATAGCCTATAGGCCTTGATAGATTTTGGCGTTTGAGGTTTTGTTAGATTGATCTTATTTGTAACAGTCGTCTTGTAAATTTTTATTGGAACGAAATTCCTTATCGCGCGTTACGAGCTCTGAGCGGATGGGAGCGAGACCGAAAAATGTGTAACAAGACTTTTTTCCGACACTTCAGTTGGCGCGTTGACGCTCTCACATCTTTTTCGTATTTAATATATACAGCAAACGTCTACCAAAAAGCGAAAGGAACTTCGTTCCGACAGGGGGTCCATAGACCCCTCACGCCGTTTTAATATAAATTTTCACGCAGTCGCGGGTTTTTTTAATAATTAGCTTGTTCATTTAATGATTTTTATGCTAAATTATATGCTCAAGGTGTACATTAATACTTTGCAGCTATTTTATGGTGATTAGTGTTTTATAAATATAATAGGTCTTTACCTATGAAATTGCCGTTTTGTATGCAATAAGTGAAAGTACTTATTTTTTCAAATTTTTTTATTTCTGTTATTCGAAGTAATCACCCATGCAATCGACGCATCTTTGCCAACGCATTGGCAGTTTATTGATGCCCTTCTTGTAAAAATCAGCTGGACAATGCTGGATAATGCTGGTAAAAAATTCAATTCCCGAGAGGCAGTACAAAATGCCTTTGAAGAGTTTGTTGCCTCCCGTCCAGTTGATTTGACATATAAAATATTTAAACGTTAAAGATTTCTAAATATATATGAATTAAATGTTTTACGTTTTATTTCAGTGGCAAATTGTTGATTAAATATGATAATAAACGAATTGCTAATAAAAAAATATTGGCAACTCAATTGGTTGACCAATATATGTGTTATAGTAATGAC